TAGCCTAGAGCTTGGCATAAGTAGATATTTCTCAAAACAGGAAGGAGGCAATAACAAGGGATTCCTCACATCTGAGCTATAGACAGCTACGCCATTTAAATAGGAATCTTGGGAACCTGAGGAACTGGAAGCCACTAAGCACCAGCATTTGAGCACCACCGTATTGTTCCAGGCTTTTGTGTGAGCTTTGCATGACGAGTACTACCTTCACATATCAGCACTAGAAACTGCCACTGCATGTCGAGCTCATTTGCTGTCTCTCTTGGTAAAAGAAACCAAGCTCCTTTTTCCTTTCTCCACCTGATGCCAGCCCTGGATAATTCATAATAGCTTGGAAAGATAATGTTGATAATAACTTAACAGGTTTGTTAATAATATTTAACATTTATTGAGTGCTTTCTGTGTGCCAGTTTTCTTGGCCTAAATCTTTTTATGTATTACTTCATCTGTTCCTCACAATGACCTGATGAGGTAGATGCTTATCATGCCAGTTTAACAACTGGGGAGAATATGAGGTTCAGATGAACTCAACTGCCCAGTGTCACACAGCTCTTGACTAAGGTAGCTGGAATTTGAATCTAGTGAAATTTTAGAGCCTATTTTCTTATACACCACTACAGAATATTGCCTGGCCATAACTGTAGATCAAACGGCGTCATGATTATAATATGCTCTTTATTTATTTATTTTTTTGGTACCAGGGATCGAACTTGGGACCTTGCGCTTGCGAGGCAGGCAGCAGAACCACTGAGCTAAATCCCTGGCCCTGTAATATGCTCTTTAAAATCATCTAGACCAGGGTTCAAAATACATTTTCTTGTGGCAAGTAACTTAACTTCTGACCTTTGCTTTCCTCATGTGTAAAATGGTAATTCCTACACATGAAAGGGTTATTGCCTGACTAAGTGCACGGTGCATGCTAGACAGTAAAATGTTAGCTCCACTTGCCTTTTCTATACCTCTGTATGTGAGCTCTGGGATAATGGTTTTATATGGACTAAGGTCTGGCATGAGAAAGCAAATAACCATTAGACAAGTAAGAGAGTTAGTATCTTGTCTTCTGAATAGTACCTGCCTTCCAGAATCTACAAGTATTTTATGGCTATGATCACATTTATTCTTTTTATGAAAAGGGTGTTCTTAAATATTTAATAATTATATTAGTCACCTGTAAATATCCTATAGAATAAGGAAGAAAATCAATAGTTTGTCTACTATACTAAACTTCTCTCTTACTAATTCTTAGGGAACATGTGAGACTCTGTGGGTTATTTATTAAATAAAATAGTTGCCCCAGTGATTCTATAAAATAAATTTCTTCTTTCAATTCTTTGTTGGAGGCAAGAAGAACCTGGAATCCAACTCCAGAAGGAGGGGCAAGCAGTCTAAAACTCGGTAACATTTAGGTGACAAGCCACTTTTTACTTTTTATTTTATTGTTTGTTTTTTGTGTTGTTGTTTTTTTTTTTTGATACCGGGGATTGAACTCAGGATCTTGCACTTTCTAGGCAGGCATCAGAACCACTGAGCTAAATCCCAGCCCAGCAAGCCACTTTTTAGAAATAAGCTACCTGATAACGCCAGGACTGGGCTCCAAGGCCAGCCTGAAGAAAGTTATCTACCTGGTCAGTCTTCCTTTCTTTTTGGTTGGGTAACCAAAAGCCAGAGTCGCTGTGTAGAAAAGGAATGAAAGTGAAGCAGAGCCAGGGATTTAGCTCAGTGGTTCTGCTGCATGCCTCCCAAGCGCAAGGTCCTGAGTTTGATCCCCAGTACCAAAGAAAATAAAAAATAAAAATAAATAAATTTCTTAGCACCATTCAGCAAAGAAAACTATAAACACAGCTGCTGTTTTGGCATGGCTTATGGTTTTGGTTTTGTTTTTATTTGAACTATTTTATTCAGGAAGATAATCATTTAAAAAGTAATCATTTGGCATTCTTCCTTGCATTCTTCAAATTTTTTGATATGTTTTTATAAATTTAGTTTAAGTAACTTCTCTTTACACACAGGTTCATCTCTCTGGTCTTTACACTAGTTGAACGAATTTTGTTTATGTACAGGAAATATAATTATATTTTAAATCCTGTAAGTTCAGTGGATCTCTTTTGTAAGTTTGAAGAATATTTTCAACTATCAAAAAATACTGTTTATATTCCTCATTGTCTTCCAGTTAATTTCTGTTTCCAGAAGTAAGAAGGCTAAATATTTCTATTACTATAACTCCCCTCCTTCATAAAAAACTTAAAAATTAGTCTGTGTTTGGAGTATATAATTATTATATTCATTGTGGGGAGTTGGTACATATACATAACACATTGTAATTTTTTTCAGCTCCTTCCCCTCATCTCTTTGTCCCCTTCCCTTTTGCAAAAGATCTGTCTCCCTGTCTTCTATTATCTTTTATATCTTCAATTTATTTATGTTTTTGGCTTTCTGATATAAATCATGTTATATTTAAGCTTGTGAAATAACTTTGAAGTATCATAGTCATTTGTTTGCAACTGAGAATTGGTATAGCAGAAGCATCTGATCAAATTCAGCACTGTAGCTCTCTTTAGATCACACTAGCTGTGAGGCGGAAAATGGATTACAGGGGACAAACAAATGCAAAGAGACCATTTAGGCCTTTGCAGTGGTCCTGGCCAAGGTAACAAAAGTGGTAATGTGGCTGGGGATTTAGCTCAGTGGTTCCGCAGCCTGCCTTGCAAGCGCAAAGACCCGAGTTCAATCCTCGGTACCAAAAAAAAAAAACAAAAATGGTAATGAAGGAATGGACAAATTAAGCAGTTGATTTATTGACAGGTTCAGTATAGATGAGTGTGAGATAGAGGAGTCAGGAATGGCAGGTTTCTGGATTAAGTATGTCATGCTCCTCACTTCTTTTGTTTGTTTAGCTCCTGCATATCCCTAAAGGATTCGGCTGGGGATACCTTCCCACCCCAACCTCCGTTGAGTTAGATGACCACACTGTGTATTTTTATAGAATGTGGCCCTTCTCCATGATAGCATTTATCCCATTTTGTAACTGTGAATTTAATTGCCCCACCCACAGCCTAAGCAGTTCTTCACACTCTGGACTTACTTCTGAGGGCAAGGGCCTTGTTTTATTCTTCATTATATACTCAGCTCCTAGCCTGGTCTTAGGGACAGCACCAGTCCTCTTTTGGAGAATAAACAGTGTAATATATAGCTGTTGTCCACAATACCTGGTAGAGTATTCAAATGCAGTAAGTTATCTAGGCCTTTTTCTGGTTAATTTCTCTAGCTTAGATTAGTTTTTTATTTCAATCTTTTGGTATCTCTCACTTTCCTTTTGTTTTGTGGTACCCTCACAGCTTAACTTACTGAATAAAAGAAAATGTAAACATAAATAGCAAGAAATAGAATTTGGTTGTGTGGGTTTTAATAGTGTCTTCAGTGCCAGGGATTAAGTCAATGGTTCCACCACTCTCCTCGCAAGCGTAAGGTCCTGAGTTTGATCCCTGGTACCAAAAAATAAAAAAATAAAAAATGTCTTAAAAAAAAAAATCCCAAGATTGTTAAAGTGTAAAAAATTAAGGACCTTCAAATCGTAATAGCACTTAATTTTTTAAAAAATCTTTTAAGTTCTTAATACAGGTGGTTGGTGCATTATACTGGCAAAGAGTCATAGGTCCCATTCGTGTATAGAATATTTCATTTCTATTAAAAGTATTAGGACTGGATTAATTGATAAGATATATGCATCTCTGTAGATTTATCATCATGCTTGGCCAGGGATTTAGCTCAATGGTTCCGTCACCTGCCTTGCTCAAGGCCCCAAGTTCGATCTCCAGTACCAAAAAAAAAGGGCCGGGAATTTAGCTCAGTGGTGTCACTGCCTGCTGCGCAAGCACAAGGACCCGAGTTTGATCCTCAGTACCAAATAAATAAATAAATAAATAAATAATAAATAAAAAGATTCATCATCATACTTCAAGAAAATGTATTGACACACTCAATATATATTATTGTGACTATATACCTAAATTAAACTTTTAAAGTAGAATGGTCTTAAATATTTCAAGTTTGCACTTATGTGGAATCTAAGGGGAAATGGCAACACAAAGTAGAAGAGAGTAGTAAGAGGACGGGGCAAGGGCCGGGGATTTAGCTCAGTGGTTCCGGTGCCTGCCTTCCAAGTGCAGGGTCCTGAGTTCGATCTCCAGTACTAAGAAAAAAAAAAAGGATGAGGCAGGCAACATGGTGTAGAAATGATCAAGAGTATGTTATATGCATGTACAGATACGCCAAAATGAGATCCATTATTCTGTATACTTAATATAGGAAAGAAGGGACAGAGGGAGGAAGGAAGGGCAGTCTGGTCTTGTGAGTTCTTCTTACTACAAGTTGAGGATAAGAAGTAAGAAAAAAAAGATTTGACTTTTTTTCTTTTGGTACCGGGGATCAAACTCAGGACCTTGAACTTGTGAGGCAGGCGCTGGAACCACTGCACTAAATCCCCGGCCCCAAGATTTGACTTTTATTAGCTCTAAATTGAGTAATGGACCTGTGACCTAAAAGATCCTTCCTGGCTCTAAATCTAATAAAATACCAGAGAATGATAAAGGTGATAGGTGATGGCATTTTCGGTTTGAATTACAACTTCTCGTTCTTCTCATAGCCTCAGCTCTGTTTTGATGAGATCTGGATTAGAAAAACATACTCAAATATAATAATTTTTAAATGACTTTATTAAATTCAATTAAATACAAGTCTCTTTCATAATCTGTGCTGAAATCAATTCTTTATACTGTAAGACAATAGCCTTGATTAAAATATTTAAGATTAATCATTAATCCTGTTCAGACTATGGGAAATGAACTTTTACATTTAGCATTGCCGTAAATGTATTCTTTTATAGTTTGTTTGCACTTCTAAAAGATGTTTTCCTTCTTTCATTTAGATTACTGCTTTGGAACAGCCATAGATTTAATTACTTAAAATAGTTTTATATGTAAAACTTGTAAAGGATCAAAACAATGCCTCCACGACCATCATCAGGTGAACTGTGGGGCATCCACTTGATGCCCCCAAGAATCCTAGTAGAATGTTTATTACCAAATGGAATGATCGTGACTTTAGAATGCCTCCGTGAGGCTACATTAATAACCATAAAGCATGAACTATTTAAGGAAGCAAGAAAATACCCTCTCCATCAACTTCTTCAAGATGAATCTTCTTACATTTTCGTAAGTGTTACCCAAGAAGCAGAAAGGGAGGAATTTTTTGATGAAACAAGACGACTTTGTGACCTTCGCCTTTTTCAACCCTTTTTAAAAGTAATTGAACCAGTAGGCAACCGTGAGGAAAAGATCCTCAATCGAGAAATTGGTAAGATGTAATTTTTAACTAAATGTCATTGTCATCCTATTCTAAAATACAAATAAGTATGAAGCTTAACTGTTATCTCATTATTGAAATATTTTTGCCTGAACCAATAGCTTTGTAATATTGGATAGCTTTCTTAGTAAAGCATCTTTATACATCTAAAGTATCTTTGGCTATTGAGTGTGAAACAGTTTTTAATCCCTTGATATTATATAAGCTTTAAGAAATACCATATGTAGGCAGACTTAGATTTGTTATATCCCAGTTTTATTATTTTGTAAAAGTTTTGATATGAATATCAATACGATATGTTGATTATTGAGATATATATATAGAGAGAGAGAGAGAGAGAGAGAGAGATTTTGGACCTTACTACATTTATTCATTAAAGATTTTTTTAACCCAGGAAAACTTCTTGACTCTATTGTGACCTTCCAAATCTATACAGTTCCTTGTTAACAAACATGTTGATATGTGTGTATAATAGAATAATGGATTCTTTATATAATGTTCCTAAGGTTTTGTTATCGGCATGCCAGTGTGTGAATTTGATATGGTTAAAGATCCAGAAGTGCAGGACTTCCGAAGAAATATTCTGAATGTTTGTAAAGAAGCTGTGGATCTTAGGGATCTCAATTCACCTCATAGTAGAGCAATGTATGTCTATCCTCCAAATGTAGAATCTTCACCAGAACTGCCAAAGCACATATACAATAAATTAGATAAAGGTAAGAAAGTCATCGGTCCGCTGTAATTGTTACTATAGTGAAATTTTCTATATTTTTGTTTATATTTTTACAGTCTTTTTTCCTAGCTAAATATAAGCTTTTTGAAGGCAGAGGTTGGTTGACTGATGAGTATACAACTTGTGTACAATAAATACTTACTAATTAAATGAATTGTGTGTATATGGTGCTGATCCCTTGAATTTTTATCCCAATAAAACTGAAGAACTTTCTTGTTAAGGATACTAAGAGTCAGAGCTTTTCTTGTTAAGGATACTAAGAGTCAGAGTTGTTTATCTTTTTATAAATGAAAGCAAGTATAAGTAGAAACATTCTGTGAAATTTTAGGAAAATTTTATATGTTCTTATGTTTCAAAGAAAAAATTTCTTAATATTAAATACAAGTCTGATCGTAATGAGTCATATAGACACTGAACATTTAATTACTGATTTTTAGAATTACATGAAAATGGATAAATGATACTGTTTTGGAAGTAAATGATATATTAAGTAAATACTTGTAACTTGAAGTTTTAGAATAGGTTGACTCTTACATGGTATTCAGTATAAAAAGCTGCTAGAACAATATTAAGACATTTGTTGCATACATTGTTGCACACATAGTATTTGAAGTTTAATGCAGTGTAACATACAATCTTTTGAAATTTTACTGTAGTAAACATTTTAAAATGGGAATATTCTTTTCACTTTTCTACTTTTTTTTATGAAAAATTGCCCACATATATGGAAGGTAGGTAGACTGTGAAAGATTCACCCAGTTGTTTTGTTTTGTTTTGTTTTGTTTTTTGTGGTACCAGGGATCAAACTCAGGACCTTGTGCTTGCAAGGCAGGTGCTGCTGAGCTAAATCCCCGGCCTAGTTCACCTAGTTTTAATCTTCTCATTTTCACACTTTTGGGAGTATGGAGATGGTCTTCTGGCTTACTTAATCTTAATATCAGAAAATTGGAAATCTGTTTCCTCTTTCCACCTCATCTTCTTTCGTTCTCATCTTTTCCCTCATTTTGATTGAGCATCTCTAAGTCTTCATTGATTCTTTATTTCTCATAGTTTTCTACATTAGGCACTGTTGAACCTTTGAAACTCCCTTGAGCCATTGTTCTCAGGGGTTGCATGCAGTTTAAAATGGAAATTAGCCTGGTCTCAGGTGCTTGGGACCCAATAACCCCAGTTTTGTGTGCTTGCCGTTAAAACAGAACTTGGGCATGGTTCTGCAACCATATCATATATGACATTTTCCAGTTTCTACCAAATATTTGCCTATATTTAATAAGATTGACTAGAAATCATTTCTAATTGTGATTAGAACAATGTATAGAGGATACTTCTTGAAATTTGTCTTGAAAAATGAAATAGACATGATGATTGCATCTGTATTTTCCTATTACAGGACAAATAATTGTGGTGATTTGGGTAATAGTTTCTCCAAATAATGACAAGCAGAAATATACTTTGAAAATCAACCATGACTGTGTGCCAGAACAAGTAATTGCTGAAGCAATCAGGAAGAAAACTCGAAGTATGTTGCTATCCTCTGAACAACTAAAACTCTGTGTTTTAGAATATCAGGGCAAGTATATTTTAAAAGTATGTGGATGTGATGAATACTTCCTAGAAAAATATCCCCTGAGTCAGTATAAGGTGAGTAACAAGAACATTAATTTCAAAATTTAAAACTAATTAACATAAGGCCTGATAGCTGTATTTTTAGATATACTTTTTGAAAATTAAATAATCAATATAGGCAAATAACATTTGCAAGTTTATTATACTGTAATTATGTAATTTGAGAGACTGAAAATGTTGGCAATTATACAACCTCAAAATATGGAGTACTTCATGCTTTTTCTCCTCTCCCAAACAGTGGCATAGGAATGCGTTTAAAATAAGCATTTCAAAAAATCCATGATCTGCTGTTAAGATGGACTGTTAATACTTCCCTATTACCTTTTTCTATTCATTAAATACTTACAAGAAGCAGCTATAGCAGGTATATTGCAAGTATTCAGTACAGTGCCAGGACAAAACATGGGCCTGGCCTCCATGTTGTGTATGGTCCAGTAGAGCTCATAGAAGAGACCACGGGCTATTATAATGTGAATACACTAGCATTTATATTTAAAAATCTCTATACTTAGATTTCAAAGTTTAGCTCAATCTAATTTAATATTTTAAAAATATTTCCATAAATCTATTAGTCTCCTCTGATTTTTTTTTTAAAAAACAAGTGTTTTTCAGAAAATGTTTAGACGAAAGAGCAAGTGGGCCATGATTTTACTAGATTGACAGAGGCTTACTAAATAATACTGCTTTCCTGTTACAATGAGTATCCTTATCTCTCTCTCTTTTTTTTTTTTGCAGTTAAGAATAGAACTATACTGTCTAAAGCTGATATTTGTTTATATATATTCAGATTTTTTTTTCTTTTTCTTTTTTCTTTTTTGGTACTGGGGATAGAACTCGGGACCTTGTGCTTGCAAGGCAGGCGTTGGAACCACTGAGCTAAATCCCCAGCCCCCTATATATATATAATTTATAGTCAGAGGTGCTTGATCTGTGCTATCACCTAACTTCTACATTTTACTATTTTAAATGGTATAAGAAATATGGCCTATAATGTTTGACTTCTGTATCATCTTCACAGATTAATATGTGCATTCTCATAGTACTCTTAACATGTTACTTTTTAAATGAAAAGCTTTATGGGAAATGGCTTCTTCCCTTCCTCCTTAATCTCTTATAGTATATAAGAAGCTGTATAATGCTTGGGAGGATGCCCAATTTGATGCTGATGGCTAAAGAAAGCCTTTACTCTCAACTACCAATGGACTGTTTTACAATGCCATCCTATTCCAGACGCATCTCTACAGCTACACCATATATGAATGGAGAAACATCTACAAAATCCCTTTGGGTTATAAATAGTGCACTCAGAATAAAAATTCTTTGTGCAACTTATGTAAATGTAAATATTCGAGACATTGATAAGGTAAGGCCAAATGTTACTGCTTATTCTTCCGTAGAAATCTTTTTTTTTTGGTACCAGAGATCGAACGCGGGTCCTTAGCTTGCAAGGCAGGCGGTGGAACCACTGAGCTAAATCCCCAGCCCTGAAGTCATTTTATATAAAAACCTTTCTATTGAACTATATAATAATCTGTTGACCTGTAGTATGTTTTCAGATGACAAAAAAATCGAGTCTCAAAATATAAAAATATGTGATGAATTCTCTTTGTTTCCATCTACCTTAGCTTTTGTGTAGCTCTCAGTCTTAGTAAGTAGTTCAGGTTGACCTTGAACTGACTGAGTAACCCAGGCTCACCTCCAACTCACAGCAATCCTCCTGCCTCAGCCTTCTAAGAGCTGAGATTACAGCATGTACCACCATACCTGACTTAACTTACCTTTCCAAAAATACAAAAAGCTGCATTATACACCTACTTGAAGGAATTGTAGGTCTGTGTTAATGTTTTAGTAACCTAATGTCCTATCATTAATGGATGAAGGCAGTAGCAAATTTTGGTGAGGAATCTTTGTCAGTATTAATTTATTAAATATGTGAAGAAAGGGAAAGTTGCATCTGAATAAAAATTTTTATTGGTTCTCTTGTTCATATTATTTTATTATCTGATACTTGGTTCTGTCTATGTGTACATTTGTATGAATGTACATTTTGTATACACATTTTTTGTTTGTTTTTTTTAGATCTATGTTCGAACAGGTATCTGCCACGGAGGAGAACCCTTATGTGACAATGTGAACACTCAAAGAGTACCTTGTTCCAATCCTAGGTATGGCAGTATTTAGATATATTTCCAAAGGTCATATTAGTAATTGAGAATGTGATCAGTAAAAGTGAAATATATTATTTTACATTATTAGTTTTATGCAAATTATATAAATTACCAGACATTTACATATAGAACATAAGAATTTTTTGTTAAATTATCAGTCACTTTATTGATTTTAAAATCTTCTCTAAAAAAGTTTTCTGATTATCCCCACTATTTAAAGGAAAGAACAGAATATGGTTACTATGTTGATAGTTCCCCGCAGTAGATAAAAAACTCAGCATTTTATTTTCTTAGCTCCATTTGCCTTTGTGTGAAGAAGTAAGAGTTGGCAAACAGTTTCAGAGCCAAACTACTTTGGTGGTTTCCTTAAAAATCACTCTCAAAATTTATGATATTCAGTCTTCTGAAGGGTCTTTGGAATAAATCAGTTTTGTAGGGGGAGAGGAAAGTAATGTGAACTTTTTTTTTTTTTGGTACCGGGGATTGAACTCAGGTCCTTGCACTTGTGAGGCAGGCGACAGAACCACTGAGCTAAATCCCCAGCCCCAGTGTGAACATTTTACATCATTACTGCATAGATGTAATAAAAAAAATCAAAGGCAGTGTAAGTTAAAAGCTTGGTGTCTTCCTATTTCTTTGAGTCTCCATAGAGTTATTTGGAGTAAGAGTAATAATAGCAGTAATATTTTAAGAAAACTCAACTTACCCCTAAAGATTGAAGATGGACTGTATAGAATAGCAAGAAAGCTAACTAGGGAATCCTCCAGAAGTAAATCACATAACGAATGTAGACTGACTTACAGGAGAGGCAGGAGAAAGTTCTCATTTTTAATTAAGTTGCTAGAGGTGGCCATCCTCTAGAGCCCAGACAAAGTTCAGAGACAGTAGCCTTATCTACCAAGGGAGAAAAGTAGTTCCTTACCTACTCAAACTACTGCAAAACTACATTATGTATAAAAGTAATTAATGTAATTGTAATCAAATTAAAATAATGCATTTTATCTTGTATAATTTTCCTTTCCTATTTGGCTTTTTATGAGCAAAACTCTTTTGGTTTATTGGTTTAGTGAAGTATAGCACATAAGTATGTATAAAAGTATACAAATCATAGTAGCAACTATACCAGTCAAAAAACAGAACATTTACCAGCCTCTAAAAGCCTATCTTTATGCCCATTCTCAAACTAGTACCTTCTCTCCTACCTAAAGGTAGCCACTATCCTGACTTCTATCATTTTGGGTTCATATTGCCTATTTTGAATTTTATATAAATTAACTCAAAGAATAGGCATTTTTTATGTCTAGATTATTGTAAGATTTCATCCATTATGTTAGTGACTTGTTCATTTTTATTGCTGTGTAATATTCCATTATATCTGTATCTATCTATATATAATATATATATATTACAATTTATCTGTTCTACTCTTGGACATTTGATTTTAGTTTGAGCATATTATAAATAACTTATCTATTAGCATTCTGTATACAAATGTACACATTTCCGTGATTTTATTCCTAGAAGTTGACTCATAAGATATCTATATGTTCACTTTTAGTAGATTGTGCTTTCTGAATTGATTATAGCAAATTATACCCCCACTTTTAGTATGTGAGATTCACTATTACTACAAAATATTCTTATCACCCTTAGTACCATCAGTCTTTCTAGTTTCAACCATTCTTATATATAGTGAGATCTCCATGAGATTTTTATTTTCATTTTTTGTAAGAAAATAACATAGACTATTTCTTCATGTTTATTGGTCATTTCAACATGATCTCAGAAAGTGCCTGTTTCAATTACGTGCCCTTTTTTTTCATTTCTTGATAATTTGTAGAAGTCACTTTTACACCCTGAACAAAGCCCTTTTTCCCTCTTCTTTTGGTAAATTCTTTTTCTTCTTTACAATTTTGCATAGGTGGAATGAATGGCTGAATTATGATATGTACATTCCTGATCTTCCTCGTGCTGCTCGACTTTGCCTTTCCATTTGCTCTGTTAAAGGCCGAAAGGGTGCTAAAGAGGTAAAGTATTCAGCGGAAACAATTATGATTACCTCTAAAATCTCTTAATTATACCTTTGATTGAATTTTCTCACAAATAATAGGTCAGACCTGTTATAATTCTTAATTAAGTAAAAATATTATAGAAGACTAGCTTGGAAGATCTTCAGAAATCTATGAAGAGTATTATGTCCCAAATTCATATTGATAGATTTTTTTAAATATGCAGAATGACTGCATAACAGTGATTGCATGCAAATATGTATCATTCCTCCTTTGTTTCATATTTCCTATTTATAATTAAAATATATGTAATTTTAACTGAGAAAAAGGAAAGGAAGTACTTAAATCAATATAGCTTTTGGTAGATTTCATATTCTAGTTATTATAGAAACAGTTGTTGAATTCTCCTTTCCAGGAAAGAAAAGTATTTTGAAATGCATTTTATAACTTAATCCCTAGATTAGTGAATATTTTTCTTTGCTTTTTAAGGAGCACTGTCCATTGGCCTGGGGAAATATAAACTTGTTTGATTATACAGACACCCTAGTATCTGGAAAAATGGCTTTGAATCTTTGGCCAGTACCTCATGGATTAGAAGACTTGCTAAACCCTATTGGTGTTACCGGGTCAAATCCAAACAAAGTAAGCTTTTTAATATCATAAATTACTTTTTTTTTGGTACCGGGGATCGAACTCTGGTCCTCACGCTTGCGGGGCAGGCTTAAATTACTTTTTTTTAAAATAACAGTCAGCTACAATATATTTATTCATTTTTCTTCCATCTCTTAGGAAACTCCATGCCTAGAGTTGGAGTTTGATTGGTTCAGCAGTGTGGTAAAGTTTCCAGATATGTCAGTGATTGAAGAGCATGCAAATTGGTCTGTATCCCGAGAAGCAGGATTTAGTTATTCACATGCAGGACTGGTAAGGAAAGTCACTGAGTTTCTAAAGTATCAGTCAAAATCTGTATGTGGACAAGGTTTTGTGTATTTTAGTTACACTAGCATAAGTATTGTTGAGCTCCAGAGCTATAGGATAAAATTTTCTATGTGCTAATATTTTTCCTGCAGCTGTTTTTTCTTGGTTTATTTGGAGCCCAAGCCTGCCTTCATTTAACAAATATTTATTGAATGCCAACTGTATGTAAAGCAACAGGATAAGTACTAGGTAATGAAATTGTGAAGTAAACATCTCCACTGACTATCCAGTCTAATGGTGAAAGCAGATATAACAGGAAATACAAGGTTGTAAATCATGGAAAGTGCCATGAAGGAAGCATAGTGTGATTTAAAAAAAAAAAACTAACTGAAGGTTGGGGGGTGGGTTGCAGGGGGTATGCTAATACGTGATTGGGTCCAGGAAAGACCTCCCTGTGATATTAACCTTGAAGTTGAGACTGAAGTATAAATGCATTGTATATTGAGCTTCACAGCAAAAGAAATAGCATTTCTTCACCATATTAGTCCTGGTCCTCCAGACAAGAATGCAATTAAAATGAAGCTTAAATATTGATCTAGTTGTCTAATCTTCCCCATAGCTTTGGAACTACAACATAACTGGGTTCAAAGACCATTAATTTTCCCTTATTTCTCAAGGACAAAGTATCAGCGCTAAGAGAAAATATTTTTGTTCTTTGGTGTCTCTTTCTTCCAGTTTCCAAATTTGTCATTTTTTTCTTTGGCCGGGTTGTAGGTTAAAGATAGACCAGTCAATGAATATTGGGCCAAGCAGTCCTGAATTATGCCTAGCCCAGGCAAGTAACAGCAGCACCAAGAGGCACCCTAGAATACTGCACTGAAGAGCTTTTTAAATTTATAGTTCAGTAAGGAATTTCCTAGTGCTTTTGTAAACTGAATAATATATTTTCCTGCATACACAGTTTAAAAGGTATGAGTTTCTTTTTTGAGTAATTGTAGCTCTTTGTAAGGATTAATATTTTGATATTTTATGACTTGTACTCTTAGAAGAATTTTTCTTTCAAAAAAAAATTATTTTTATAATTTTTGGGCCTGTAGGAAACTTTTATAAATCTAAAATATATTATGGGCTCCTAGTTTTCCTATGTCTTAAAACATTTTCTTTTACATCATCCCAAAAATTATTTTATCCTTATTCACTAATTACTTCCAATTATGCTCTAAAAAAAAGACTAAATAATATAAAGAGATATAGAAGTATATAATAGTCTAGAAGGATGATACAACAGTGAAATAAATCATCAGTATGACATAATTGTTCATTTTTCTTAATGTATTGCTTGGTGTCTTGCAACATCTTTCTAGGGGTATAAAAGCAATCTGAAACACCATCTCCATAGTTTTTTGGTTTTTGGTTTCTTTAGGCTATCAGTGGACTGAATTTTTCTCTTTCTACCCATAATAAAAACCAAGCAAATTATAGAGGAAGATATTTTGCAGTTACTAGACAAATCATAGTAGGAATTCAGAGATGGATAATTAAGACTCTAATAATAAGACTCTAAAGTAGTGTTTCTCCATCTTGACCCTGCATTTTAGGCCAAATGATTCTTTGTTGTAGGGGATATCCAGTGCATTGCAGGATGTTTAGCAGGATCCCCAGTCTCTACCCTGCTAGACACCAGGAGCACCACCACACAAAGTTGTGCCAATTAAAAATGTCTCCATACATTACCAGGGTCCATAGGGCCTAAGAGAGAAGATCACCCTAGCTAAGAACCGCTGCTCCATATTCTAATGATGATGGTGAAATTTATCATATAAATGAAATACCAGATGACTCTGTCCTACATGGATTTTCTTGGACTAATAATAATGAACAATACACGTCTGAGGACAAATAAGAAATTTGATATTCACATTTAATTAGTTATTCAACAGAAGTGATTTACTCACAATATTTTATGACAAAAGTTGAACAGTCTTGTGTTTTATAGTGTTCTTTCCATTTTTTGGTTATACACCAAAATTTACTTGATACAGTTTCTAAATGGGTAGATACAGAAGTCAAGTCTAAAGTGACCAGAATGAAGAGTAATATAGAAATATTTAAAACTTCTTGGATTAATCATTCTGGTGGGTATTTATAAATATAAAAAATGGAAATGTTTTGCAATTACTGACTAAAGAAGATGGCCCATCTTTAAAATTATAAGCCATCAGGGGCCGGGGATTTAGCTCACTGGTTCTGCCACCTGCCTCACAAGCGCAAGGACACGAGTTTGATCCCCAGTTCCAAAAAAAAAAAAATTATAAGCCATCAGGGGCCGGGGATTTAGCTCACTGGTTCTGCCACCTGCCTCACAAGCGCAAGGACACGAGTTTGATCCCCAGTTCCAAAAAAAAAAAAATTATAAGCCATCAGGGCAGGTCATAAGAGGGATGAATATGATCAAAATACATTCTGTATATTGATTCAAGCTCTAAAATACATTCTATATATTGAAACATTCCAAAAATGTGAAATTAAGGGCGTGAGGCAAGAGTGGTGATGGTGGGGAAATAATTAAGAGTATGATATGTGCATGTACAAATCTGACAAAACCCATTAAATGGGGGAAAAAATTAATGAGCCAGGAGTTTTCAGAAGTGTTCCATTTTGACAGTATAGTTTACAGTTTGACAGAGATGTATTTCAAAACAAGGAAAATATGGATAAAAATTTGGTTTTTCTATGTCTCAATTCTTTTAAAATATCTAACAAAATTGTATTTCATCAGAACTTTATCCTTCCATAAATTATTTTGTATTAAAAACATAAACAGAAAGGGCTGGGGATTTAGCTCAGTGGTTCTACCACCTGCCTAGCAAGCACAAGGGTCCCGAGTTTGATCCCCGGTACCAAAAA